GAAAAAAAAGTGACTGTTTTCCATACTTACGACCACTGCGACTCAGATTTATGACAGTCGAGGCATCCCAGAGTCACACGATCCCCTTTTGCGACCGTCTCACGAGCAAAGTCCGCGGGGAAGCTGGATTCACTTCACTTAACAACTGCAGTGATGTTTGCCCCATCATAAAATGGGGCAAAGCTCACTTAACAACGGCCTCGCTTAGCAACAGGAATTTCGGGCTCAGTTGCGGTCGTAAGTCGAGGACTACATGTAACTGCAGCTAGCCAAGCGTCTAACTCTTGACCGTGTCCCTTTAAGGACACCGGAATGGTCATTAGTGCGAGAATCGGTCATAAATGCAAGAATTGGTCACAAGCCTTGTTTTTTTTCCCGCACCGTCGTAACTTCAAACAAGTGGTCGTACGTCGAGGACCACCTGTTTATCCTCTCGGCATTAGCTACCAATATCTTTTCCTCTCTTTCAAACAAAGCCAGCTATATTATTCCGTTTTCCATCTCTTTTTTTTCTGTTTTGATGGATGTCGGTTAGCCCTTTTAATCGCACAACACCCCTGCGAGGTAGACCGGGGAATAGGAAAAAGGAACGGAACACAAGGTCACTCAGCAGGTTGGAAGAGCCAACAACAACAGATCAAAAAAAAAAAAAAGGCAAATCAGCAACTTGGCCAAAGCCTCTGTCGGAAGGCAAAGCGACAAAGTTTGTACAAGCGAATTCCCTGCTAAAAAGCCCAAAGAGCTGAGCAAAATTGTGATTGGAATTCATTTGTGTTGGTGCATTAACCCTGTTTGAGCTGCCCTGTTTTGATGGGAGTTTGTTGGAATTGCATTCTTGGAACGCTTACGAAGGAGCCTAATTCAAACGCAAAACTTTGGGGTTTTTTTAGGGAAAGACAAAAAGGAAAATCAGTCTATCTATCTATCTATCTATCTATCTATCTATCTATCTATCTATCTATCATCTATCTATCTATCTATCTATCTATGTATCTGTCACCTATCTATCTATCTATCTTATTTTATTTTATTTATATCATCTATCATCTATCTATCTCTATCTATCTCTTTTATCTATCCATCTCTATCTATATCATCTATCTCTATCTATCTATCTATCTATCTATCTATATCTATCTATCATCTATCTATCTACCTTCCTATCTATCTATCTATCTATCTTATTTTATTTATATCATCTATCATCTATCTATCTCTATCTCTTATTTTATCTATCCATCTATATCTATCTATCATCTATCTATCTATCTATCATCTATCTATCATCTCTATCATCTATCTTATTTTATCTATCTATCATCTATCTATCTCTATCTATCTATCTATCTATCTATCATCTATCTTATTTTATCTATCTATCATCTATCATCTATCATCTATCTTTATCTATCTCTATCTCTTATTTTATCTATCTATCTATATCTATCATCTATATCATCTATCATCTATCTATCATTTATCTATCTATCGTCTATCTATCTTATTTTATCTATCATCTATCTATCTATCTATCATCTATCTCTTATTTTATCCATCTATCTATCTCTATCTATCATCTATCTCTATCTATCTATCTATCTATCTATCTATCTATCTATCTATCTATCTATCTCATATATTATCTATCATCTATCTATCATCTATCTATCTATATCATCTATCTATCTATCATCTACTTATCTACCATCCGTCCATCCATCCATCCATCTATCTATCTATATCTATCATCTATCTATCATCTACCTATGTACCATCTGCCCATCCATCCATCCATCCATCCATCCATCTATCTATCTATCTATGGTACAAGTAGTCCTCGACATATGACCACAATGGAGTCCAACATTTCCGCCGCTAAGCGAGACATTCGTTAAGTGCATTTTGCCACATTTTACGACCTTTCTCACCACCGTTCTTAAGTGAACCAGAGAGCAGAGGGCACCAGAGGGCAGGACAAAAAAAAAAAAAAACAATGGATGGAAACTCATCAAGGAGAGAAGCAACCTGGATTTAAAGAGAAACTTCCTGACAGTGAAGACTATTAGCCAGTGGAACAGTTCGCCACCAGAAGTTGTAAGTGCTCCAACACTGGAGGTTTTTAAGAAGAGACTGGACAGTCACTTGTCTGAAACGGTATAGGGCCCTCCTGCTTGAGAAAGGGGGCTGGACTAGAAGACCTCCAAGATCCCTTCCAGATCTATTCTGATCAGGAATCACGGCAGTTGTTAAGTTAGGAACAGAGTTGTGAAGTCTGGTTTGACATGGCTGGTCCGAAGGTCGCAAAAGGGGAACATGTAACCCTGGGACCTTGCAACCGACACAAATATGAATCAGTTGCCAAGCCTCCAAATGTCCATCCCCATGGGGGAAATGATGCGATGGTCGTAAGTGTGAAAAACGGTCATAAGTCACATTTCTCGGTGCCGTTGTAACTTTGAATGGTCACTAAAAGAACTGTTGTAAGTCGAGGACTAACTGTACTCATAAGCCATCCCTTTAAGTCAGTGGTGAAATGTAAAATTTGTTACTACCGGTTCTGTGGGCGTGGCTTGGGGGGGGTGTGTGTGGGGGTAATATGACTGAGTGGGCGTGGCCAACTTTTTTTTTTTTTTTTAAAACCATTTTTTCTACAACCTCTTCGGCCGAAAAAATGCTTTTAAAAGTAAAAAAAAAAAAAAAGCCTCTGATGATCGCGCGGCTCAGCTGGGATCGTCAGAGGCTTTTAAAACCATTTTTTCTACAACCTCTTCGGCCGAAAAAATGCTTAAAGTAAAAAAAAAAAAAATCCTCTGATGATCATGCGGTTCAGCTGGGATCGTCAGAGGCTTTTAAAAGCATTTTTTTTTCGGCCGAAGAGGTTGTAAAAAAAATGCTTTAAAAGCCTCTGACGATCCCAGCTAACTTGCTTGATTGGCAGAGACCTTTTTTTCTTTTTAAAAACATATTTTCTATAACCTCTTCGGCCGAAGAGGTTGTAGAAAAAATGCTTTTAAAAGCCTCTGATGATCCCAGCTGAGCCGCGTGATCATCAGAGGCTTTTTTCTTTTTTTTTTACTTTTAAAAGCATTTTTTTCGGCCGAAGAGGTTGTAGAAAAAATGCTTTTAAAATTTTTTAAAAAGCCTCTGATGATTGCACGGCTTCAGCTGGACAATGGGGGGGAGGGCAGGGATTTTTGCTACCGATTCTCCGAACCGCTCGCCTCCATCGCTACCGGATCGGGCGATTCGGTCCAAACCGGGAGCATTTCACCCCAGCTTTAAGTGTCTTAAAGGGTATTGACGCTTCTTGACAATATCAGTTTCATAACCTTCTTTAAACTCCGGTTCTAATAATCTTGATTAGAATTCTTGAGGCCTACAGCAAGTTAACTGTAGATTTATTCACCCTGGGAAATAGTGCATATTTAAAGACTACGCCTAGAGCTAAATTCACTGCCTCTGATTAGAGAGCGATTATTCACCAGACTGAGTGCGAGACGGGGGGGATTAAATCCTCTTTACAGTCGGTTTCCCATGGAATTTTAAGCCAGGGAATTTATTATTTTATTTTATTTTTTAAAAAAGCCCAATGAGCTGAAAACGGCCTAGCAATCTTGTGTCTGAGCAGCCGTAGGAGGAATTATTACACAATACGTTCATTTAAGCATATAGAGAGGCTGCAAAACTCCTGACCACCAGTAGGGGGCAACAGAAAAAAAAATCAACTCTTGGCTGCCACCTGGTGGTCGCTCGAAGTTTTGCAACCCAGATCTGGTTGGTGGTTCACTCCCCATGTGGGTTTAGTTAGGAGAACCAGATCTGGTTTCAACTGGTTCATATTTCTGCCTTGTTGAACCCAGGTTTGTTGAATGAATTACCTTTCGCTGAACAAGTCACCCAACATACATTAGCGGCCAAAATTGTGGAAACCTTTCGGGAAAAGTGTATTTTTGAGGTTGGATGGCTAATAAAACAATTTTTTGGGGGGGGAGTTTCAAGATAATCCTATTCCGTTGCTGGAATGGCATAGGAATAGCCCAGACCTTAACCCAATTGAAAATCTATGAAGCCGACTAAATAAACTAGCTAGTCAGAAGTGACCCAGCAATAAAACCCAGTTAATAGAAGCCATCATTCGATCTTGGTTTCCCATGATAACACCTGCAGAACTAAAAGACTTGGTTCAGTCCATGGGAAGATGTTGTAAGGCCATAATTTATTTTTATTTATTTTATTTTATTTTATTTCGAATTTATATACCGCACCTTCTCCCAAGGGACTCAGCCAGATAAAAACATACAATACAAACATTAAAAACAATTAAAAGAATATATATTAATCTGGCCCCCGTTTAAAATGACAAACCAATTAAAAATTTAAAATGTAAAAATATGTTAAGCTATAATTCATGCTAAAGGTTACCCAACAAAGTATTAACTGACGTGGTGATCATTTTTGTATATCTCGTTTTTTTCTATGGTGGTAATTTTCGTAGATCGTGTTTTTTCTATGGTGGTAATTTTTGTAGATCTCGTTTTTTTCTACGTGTTTCCCTTTTCTTCTTTATACCGTAACTGCTATTCTAATCGCAAATCCTCCCTAAAAGTTATCGCGTTGCATTCTTGATGAAATGATCTTTCCATTGATATATATATAATTTTATGGTACCACTCCCAAAATAAAGTGGTGTTATTAGCTAATTTTAGAAAAAAATAAGCTGACTTTGTATAAAATATACAAAAGTATGAAGGCTGTTGCTTAACACATTGTAAGCTGCCCTGAGTCTCCGGAGAAGGGCGGCATATAAAAATAAATAAATAAATAAAAAATAGACTTTCCCCAAAAGGTTTCCACAATTTGGGCCGTTACTGTACAAGCTACAATGGTTCAGTTCCCACAACCAGCTAAAGCCATAAACGAGCAGCCGTTAAAAAGACACACCGCTCTGGGATCGTAGGTGTAACGCTACGTATCGCCGTCAGGTTTCGCTCGCTACTTACAAAGGCAGACCCCTGCGAGGAGACGCAGCCCGGTTTCTGGAGGCAGGCAGGTGGGGAAGATGGGTTGGAGGACGTAGTTGGCAAAAGTCAGCGCGATCACCGCCTGATTGGTGGGGTAGATCACCAGCACCGCGATCCACAGTCGGAGGAACCTTGGGAGAAATGGAAGGGTTAAGAGGACCCTCAAGGCTTCTTGGTCCGTACCGGAGGTGGGTTTCATATAATTTTACCACCGGTTCGCCCCGGGCCAAAAATGTGAGCGCACGCCTTCCACGCACGCACGACTTGCACGGATGTGCGCGGCTTAGAAAACATGGCTAAATAGGACGACATAGCGTCGGCATGGGTGGGCGGGGCCGCCCGCAGGTCCTCACAATCGGTTCTCCCGAACCAGTCCGAACCGGTTGGATACCACCACTGGTCCTTACCTAAACCCCCATGTCTCTTTTCCTTAGCAAGATCTATTGAGAAGAACAGCAAGAATTCTGACAACTGAATGAGTTCCTTTCCAAACTAATGTACAGTATTTCCCCAGTATACTGAAGTGGCTGTTTCTTGAGCTTCTTTCTAACTGTCACCTGATGAATGGGGAAATAACAGAACAGAATAACAAGAGTTGGAAGGGACTTTGGAGGTCTTCTAGTCCAACCCCCTGCTTAGGCAGGAAACCCTACACCTCTTCAGACAAATGGTTATCCAATCTCTTCTTAAAAACTTCCAGTGTTGGAGGTGTTGTGGCTCCGTTGCCTGAGCCTGGGCTATCGACAGATGCAGACTCTGAGAGTGAGGGAGAGGAGTTGGCAAGGCCTCCCTCGCCAGGACCCTCCTCTCTGGCAATGCCTCTGGAGGACATCGAAGGCCAAGAGATAGGCCCAGAGCCAAGCACGTCCCCGCAGCCACAGGTGGACAGCGACGAAGGAGATAAGTGCTGGCTGGATCCTCAACAGCGGCGCAGGGAGAAGCGTGCGCAGCAGAGGGGAAGGCGTGCCAGAGATTAGCTGAGTCACTGGACCACACCCCACAGGGTATAAACGTGGGTGTGGTGGCCGGTTCAGTTTGTGACGAGCAAAAACTAGAAATAATCCATGATCTCTGCGTTACTGGACTTCTGCCTGCCTTGTCGGACTGCATTTGGACTAATCCTTGCATTGTTGAAACTTTGCCTGCTTTATCGGAATGCTGGCAGTCTAATCTTTGTTTTGTGTGAGTAAAGTCTGAATTGGCAGCTAGCCACTGGGTTGCTGCCAGCTTTATCTTCAAAGATTTTGTCGTCTGGCTTATTAACTCCGGGCCGTCTGTGGGGATGCGTGTGTGGGATGGGGACAGAACAGGAGGATTTACAACTTCTGGAGGCAAGTTGTTCCACTGATTAATTCTTCTAACTGTCAAGAATTTTCTCCTTAGTTCTGCGTTGCTTCTCTCCTTGCTTAGTTTCCACCCGTTGCTTCTTGTCTTGCCCTCAGGTGCTTTGGAGAATAGTTTGACTCCCTCTTCTTTGTGGCAGCCCCCGAGATATTGGAAGACTGCTATCATGTCACCCCTGAGTCCTTCTTTTCCTTAAACTAGACTTACCCAATTCCTGCAACCGTTGTTGTTTTTGTTGTTTGTCGTTTAATCAGCAGCGGTGGGATTCAAATTTTTTTACTACCGGTTTTGTGGGTGTGGCTTGGTGGGTGTGGCATGGCTTGGTGGGCGTGGCAAGGGAAGGATACTGTAAAATCTCCATTCCCACCCCACTCCAGGGGAAGATTACTGCAAAATCCCCATTTCCTCCCGATCAGCTGGAATTCGGGAGGCAGAGAATAGATGGGGGCGGGGCCAGTCAGAGGTGGTATTTACCGGTTCTCCGAACTACTCAAAATTTCCGCTACCGGTTCTCCAGAACTGGTCAGAACCTGCTGAAACCCACCTCTGGTTTAATGACCCCGTAATCCGTTGCGGGGTAGAGTCGGGGCAACTGAATGGAGCTGAGTGTTTACTGGCCGGATGCCTTTCCTGTCGCCGATGCAGAGTTTTTGCGGCAGATATATTCTCATTGCGCCCAGAGAGAAAAATATTAGAAGACTGCTATCATGTCACCCTGAGGCCTTCTTTTCCTTAAACTAGACGTGCCCAGTTCCTGCAAACGTTCTTTGTATGTTTTATCCTCCAGTCCCCTAATCATCTTTGTTGCTCTTCTCTGCACTCTTTCTAGAGTCTCCACATCTTTTTTACAGTGTGGCGACCAAAACTGGATGCAGGATTCCAAGTGTGGCCTTACCAAGCCTTTATAAAGCGGTATTAACACCTCACGCCATCTTGAATCGATCCCTCTGTTAATGCTGCCCAGGATGGTGTCGGCTCTTTGGTTTCAGCGGCTGTTTACACAACGGATTCTCCTGAAACCCTGAATTTCTGGATGCCCACCATTGCAAAATGGCCACCCTGCTAAGCGCATCCGTTTCTTCTCTTCACCCAACTCGGTTCTCTAACCCCCAACCCCTGGCTGACAAGCCAAGTTCCTTATTCCCTCTTACCCAGCCAGTCCTCCGAAGATGTCCTTGACGTAGGAATAGTCTCCTCCGGATTTAGGGATGGTGACCCCCAGTTCTGCGTAGCACAGGGCCCCCACGGCGGTGATGAGGCCCGTGACGATCCACACGATCAACGCCAGCCCTACGGAGCCCGCATTCTCCAACACGCCCTTTGGCGATACAAAAATTCCGGATCCAATGATGTTACCTACAAGGGGGACAACAGGAGATCACAATGGAGGACGACAACGACGACAAGCAACAAACAACAAATTTTGGTGTAGCTCCTTCTAAGACTTTTTTCAAGTACGTGTTCCTTGCTTCCAGAAGTTGTGGGGGCTCCAACAACTGGAGGTTTTTAAGAGGAGACTGGACAAGGATTTGTCTGGAATGGAAGAGGTCACAGTTAGAAAGAAGATCAAGAAACAGCCACTTCAGCCCCTTTCAACTCTGTTAATTAATCTGTTATTCTGGCTCTGGAGAGGGGTTGGCTGAGATTACGTTTCTCAGCCTGTTACTTTAAAGATGTGTGGACTTCGACTCCCAGAATTCTCCAGCCAGAACACCATCAAGATTTGAGAGACGCAAGGATGACCAGGGGAATTCTGGGAGTTGAAGTCCACACATCTTGAAAGCTGCCAAGGTTGAGAAATACTGCTTTAGATCAGTGGTGAAATCCACTTTTTTTTACTAACGATTCTGTGGGCGTGGTTTGGTGGGCATGGTGTGGCTTGGTGGGCATGGCAGGGGAAGGATACTGCAAAATCCCCATACCCTCCCCACTCCTGGGGAAGGATATTGCAAAATCTCCATTCCCTCCCCACTCCAGGGGAAGGATACTGCAAAATCCCAATTCCCTCCCCACTCCTGGGGAAGGATATTGCAAAATCTCCATTCCCTCCCCACTCCAGGGGAAGGATACTGCAAAATCCCCATTCCCTACCCACTCCAGGGGAAGGAGACTGCAAAATCCCCATTCCCTCTCCACTCCTGGGGAAGGATACTGCAAAATCCCCGTTCCCTCCCCACTCCTGGGGAAGGATACTGCAAAATCCCCATTCCCTCCCCACTCCTGGGGAAGGAGACTGCAAAATCCCCATTCCCTCCCCACTCCTGGGGAAGGATATTGCAAAATCCCCATTCCCTCCCCACTCCAGGGGAAGGAGACTGCAAACCAGGCAAAAGTGGTATTTGCCGGTTCTCCGAACTGCTCAAAATTTCTGCTACCAATTCTCCAGAACTTGTCAGAACCTGCTGGATTTCACCCCTGCTTTAGATTAGCTATATGGGATACCTGCAACCAGTGGGGAAATGCTACCAGTTCGCACGAACAGATAGCAGCAGCGGCGCATGGTTCGGTGAACTGATAGCGACAGCGGCGCAACGCTCCACCCACCCGCCCGGATGTCGTTACTTCGTGGTTTTAACCAGGAAGTAACCTATTTTTGACCCTCTGCACATGCACAGAAGGCTTTGGCCACGCGCAGAGGGATCAAAATCGCACGAATCGGTAGGGAAGGTAAGATTTCACCCCGACCTGCGACCCTTTCATTCTGAAGTCAGCGACCTCAGAAAAAAGTTAGTTCCCGTAAATACAGGAAAAACTTCCTCAAAGACGACATTTAAGTTTACCTCAGCTTTTCTCCTGATAAAACTGTGGGCCTGACTCAGTGGTGAAATGTAACATTTGTTACTACCGGTTCTGTGGGCTGAAGAGGTTGTAGAAAAAATGCTTTTAAAGCCTCTGACGATCCCAGCTGATCGGCAGAGGCTTTTTTTTCCTTTTAAAAACATTTTTTCTATAACCTCTTCGGCCGAAGAGGTTGTAGAAAAAATGCTTTTAAAAGCCTCTGATGATCCCAGCTGAGCCGCGCGATCATCAGAGGCTTTTTTTTTTACTTTTAAAAGCATTTTTTCTTTTTTTTTACTTTTAAAAGCATTTTTTCTCTGATGATCGCGTGGCTCAGCTGGGCAATGGGGGAGGGGCAGGGATTTTTGCTACCGGTTCTCTGAACCACCCGCCTCCATCGCTACCGGATCGGGCGATCCGGTCTAAACCGGGAACATTTCACCCCTGGCCTGGCTCCTGTTAAAAATCCAGAAATATTCACCCTTTTGCATTACGACATATCTTGAACGAAATACTGCCAACTTGGTTACGTAATCTTAAAACACACCGGGTGAATTTTTTTATGCTTTGCCTGCATGTGTCCCAAATATAATAATCGCCCACAAACCTACGTGCAATTGTACAGATGATGGGTTGTAGAGTATACGGTAAAGAGCAGAAAGGCGATCTGCCTTCGAGAACGATTTTGCATGGATACCTGGATGTAAAGATACTGTGTACATCCTTCGCAATGCTTTTGAAAGTTGACTAAGGAATCGCACCTTGAAAACAATAGGATTTCCTGGCTAAGCAAACTCGCTGAAGTTTTTCTCGCGTGTAAAAATAAAACAAAACAATAATAGGTTTTTTTAACCACCTGGGTAATTTTTTTCTAAAATAATAATAATAATAATAATCAGGCTTATCGAAGGGACCGAATTAAAATCCAGCTCTCTTCTTAAACAAAAGCAGAATTATTTTTTGTTTTGTTTTTTTTCCCCCTGAGGCTGTGCCAAGATTTCAGTTTGGCAATCGGATGAGTTCCAGATCTTGCCACTTCGTTGGAAATCAAATCGGCTCGATTTTATCCACCGAAAAAGGAAGAACTAAGCAAAGAAGGGTAGGGAACCGATCGCCCGGTTTTCCCAAGCGATTCCCCAATGCAAATGTTATGTACCAAGCCCTTGGCGTCTTATCAGCCCTTCCATCTGAAAGATGAAGGATGCAGGTTGCGCAACGGGGTGGTTTGTTTTTTCAAGCCAGGGATGACTGCTTTGATATAAAGAAACGTCCCTACATATGTATATGAAGGAAAGGAGAAGGAGAAAGAGGAAGAGGAGGAGGAGGAGAAAGTAGAAGAAGACAAAGAAGAAGGAGGAGGAGGAGAGGAGAGGAGGAGGAGGAGGAGGAGGAGGAGAAGAAGAAGAAGAAGAAGAAGAAGAAGAAGAAGAAGAAGAAGAAGAAGAAGAAGAAGAAGAAGAGAAAAAGAAGAAAGGGATGGGAGAGGAAGGACAGGAGAAAGAAGAAGAGGGAAGGGGAGGGAGGGGAGAGGGAGAGAGAAGAGGATGAGGAGGAGGAGAGGAGAGGAGGAGGAGAAGAAGAAGAGGAAGAAGAAGAAGAAGAGAAGAAGAAGGGATGGGAAGGAGAGGACAGGAGGAAGAAGAAGAGGGAAGGGGAGGAGAGAGGAGAGGAGGAAGAGGAAGAGGAGGAAGAGAAGTAGAAGGGGAGGGGGAGGGGAGAGGAGGAAGAGGAAGGAGGAGGAGGAGAAGGAGAAGGAGAAGAAGAGGGAGGGGAGAGAGGAGGATAGAGGAAACAGGAGAAGGGGAGGGGGAGGGGGAGGAGAGAAGAGGAAGAGGAAGGAGGAGAAGGAGAAGAAGAAGGAGAAGAAGAAAAGGAGGGAGGGAGAGGAGAGGGGGAAGGAGGAGAGGAGAAAATAGAGGAGGAGGGAGGGGGAGGAGGAGGAGAAAAAGGAAGAGAAAGGAAGAGGAGGAGGAGAAAGAAGGAAGAAAGAGGGGGAGGGGAGGGGAGAGGAGAAGAAAGGAGGAGAAAGAAGAAGGGAGGGGGAGGGGGAGAGGAGAGGAAGAGGAAGAAGAAGAGGGAGGGGAGGGGAGGATGAGGAGAGGAGGAAGAGGAAGGAGGAGGAGGAGAAGAAGAGGAGGAGGAGGAGAGGGGAGGGAGGGAGGAGGAGAGGAGAAAAGGGAGGAGGAGAAGAAGAGAGGAAGGAAAAGAAAGAGGGAGAGGGAGGGGAGGAAGTGGAAGGAGGAGGAGGAGAAGGAGAAGGAGAGAAGAGGGGAAGGAGAAGAAGAGGAAGGAGGAGGGGAGGGATAGGAGGAGGATTCCAATACATAATATCTATGTAAATAAATAACCAAAATCAAACTCCGGGCCTTCTCATTGAAAAAGCAGAGTTTTAATGCTCCTTTACAAAATCAATATACACCGAGGGAATCTCTCTCCAGGCGACTCACGGCTCCGAAGGAAGAGAATATTTGAAAAACCAGATTTTTCTGCAAAACGCCGGTGGTGGTGGGGGGGTTCCAGGAGATTTGAAGACGAAGCAAAAAGTGTCGACAGAAAGCCGCCAGTTATCTCTCGCTGGCGCTTTTGCTCCTTGATCGAGGGCTTCTGGGAAACATTAAAATGCCCTTGACACGCGTGCCACACTTTAAGCAGTAAAACAATTTCACTGGCAAAGCGGGATTTGGAGCTGTTTTTTTTTTTTCCCCTCCCTCCCTCCCTCCCTCTCTCTCTCTTTCCGTCTCTTCTGAACTCCTTTTTTTTCTGCCCAAGAATACAACGTAGAATAATAAGGTTGGGAAAGGGATCTCAGAGGTCATCTAGACCAACCCCTTGCCCCGGAGGCAGGAGATCCCTCACCCGGGATCCAATAGGGGTGACAATGATAGCAATCGTCCAAGATCTGAGTGGTTGCTACAAAGAAGGGGTCACACTATTCTCCTCCAAAGCCCCAGAGAAGGCAGGGACGAGAAGCAACGGACGGGAAAAACTTTAAATCAAGGAGAGAAGCAATCTAGAACGAAGGAGAAATGTCCAATTCATCAGCGGAACTGCCTGCCACCAGATGTTGCCAACTTTGGAGGTTTTAAAGAAGAGATCGGACAACTATTCGGTATAGAGTTTCCCGCTCGAGCAGGGGGAAACCACTTTTGAACGGGCCCAATTTCTGGCCAATCGTATTTTCAAGAAGCCTGACTTAGGCGGCTCAGTGGGTAAGACACTGAGCTTGTGGATCGGAAAGGTCGGCAGTTCGGCGGTTCGAATCCCTAGTACAGGTCTCCTGTGTGGGCAGGGGGTTGGACTACATGACCTCCAAGGTCCCATTGTTGTTGTTGTTGTTGTTGTTATTATTATTATTATTATTATTAGCAAGAAAGGACATTCTTGCTCTGAGCATCAGCCAGGAGAACATCTGGAAGGGAGCCATCGATATCTTTTGGGACGCTGGCGGAAAGGGCCCCATGGGAAGCCGAGGGCATTTAAATTCAAGGCGGAGGGGAAAAGGAGGGCAAGCGAAGCGTTGGCGAAGCTGGAGTGGGGTCGGGGGTGGGGGGGGGAAAGCGAGGGTGCTTCAGTGCTCACTCCCCGTACTTCCGACCCGCCACTTCTGTCTGCCGGGTGTTTGTTTAATGGTCTCCTGGCACCTGCTGAAAAAAATGAAGCCATCTGGAAAGCTGGAACAAACACGCTCGAGCGGTGCCTTGGCGTTCCGGCTTCATCGGGGTGGAAAGCAAACTCCGGCGGGGGGTGGGTGGGCAGGGGATCTGGTTCCTTTGGGCCTCGGGCTGGCAAGCTTCCTTCCCCCCCCACTTCCAGATCCCCTGAATTGTGCAGGATATTTTGTTGTACGAAATTGCATCTCTTTTTGTGAAGGCCGGAAAGGAACGATTACACCGTGTTGTGGTCTTGTTTTCCAGCAGGGAAAAAGAAGAGCTGCAACTTGGCACACCGGGGCAGTTATGTTTTCGGAGAAATTTCGTCAAGCTGGGGATATGCGATCCCTCCCTACAGCTCGCAGCTGTTGGCTTGTTTGCGGCGAGGGGGATCTTTCCGGGGCTGGGACTGTGATCCTGCCAAGCGGGCCCACGAAAAGACCAAATCCCGTCTACGGATCTCCCTAAGCCCCAGTTCAGTGGATCTCAAACTAAGGGACCCAGGGAAAGATGGTTGGGCAATAGGCCAGGAATCCAGGTCTCTCTCTTTCTCTCTCCTTCTCTCTCTCTCTCTCTCTGGCACCAAGGCCGAAGAAAGCCAGTAGATTACCAGACATGGGGAGGTGAAGTTTGGAAGGATAAAGCTGGCTTTGGACCGATCAATGCTGGGAACCGAGAAGATATGAAAAAAAGGAAGAGGGAGAGAATGGCAGGGGCCAAAACTGAGAAGAAGCACCCAAATAAAATAAAAATAAAGCAGAATTGGAGATTTCAACGACCTCCCCAAATCAAAAAGCCAGGACAATGGATCCTGTTTGATTCCGGATGACCGCTGGGGATCCCTTGCCAAGGGCTAAGTAGATCAGGAAATAATGCCATCCAATTCAGAGCCAGCAAGTGTGTGGGGGGGGGGGGAGAGGCAGAGACCCCCCCTTCCTCCCGAGACACCCCACCATCTCCCCCGCCACTCACCCACAATAATGCCACAGGCGCTCAGCAAGCCAATCTCCTTCTTGAGCGCCACTCCTTCGCCGCCTTCTTCCGTTTTTTCGGAGGCCTTTTCGGGGCCGCCTCGCCGACGGGCACCGTCCTCCATCCTTTTTTTTTTTTTTTTTTTTTTTAAACCAGGTGGCCCAGTTGAAGATCCCCCAGGAATTCTGGATTCCGGCCGGAGGGCTTTCCTAGGTCTTGTTTTCCAGCAGGGAAAAAAAGAAGAGCTGCAACTTGGCACACCGGGGCAGTTATGTTTTCGGAGAAATTGTGGTTGGGGGAAAGCCGGGCTCGATCCTCAGTTCAAAGCTCAGGGGTCAGTCTAGGCAAGCTCTGAAGGGCTCTTCCCCCTTGTCCAAAAAGAGTTTTGCGGGCTGCTAGGAAGCTCAGCATCCGAAATTGGGTGGGTGGGCTTTTTTTTTTTCCTTCCTTCCTTCCTTCCTTCCAGAATCCAAGCCAAGGGTCCCGTCCGAAATTCAGTTCGGTTCCCAAAGGGAAAAATTGCTTTTCAAAATAAGATTCAATAATCTCTCCGTTTGGGTGGATAGGCAAGCTGACACGCAGCCCCTTCCCACGTGCGAGGCTGACCCAGGTGCGGGGATCCTCCTGGGTTTTTTTTTAAGTTGGCACAAGTTTTCCCCGCGGTTATTCCGCGATGAGGCTGAGGTTTCTTTTTTTGCAAAGGCTTGGCGGGCTCTGGGTGCAAATGAATCCCCCCGGATCGGGCTGGGTTAGGGGCTGCGGGGGCGACGAGAGAGAGGAGGGGGGTCTCCGCTGCTGAGCTCCGGCTTCCTCCTGGCCCCGCGGCGCCGGACTCCGCTCTGCCCTCCGCCGCCTGGCTTTGCGCTGTTTTTTTCCTCCCGGGCGGCGCTCCGCTGCCAGAAACCGGCTGCCGCCGGCCAGGGCGGTGGCCAAGCCTCGCTCCTCCCTCTCGCTTTACCTCCGGCACCGGCTGCTTCCCGGTTCAGATGAGCCTCCCTTCGCTCTCCCCACGCGGGAAGGATGGCGTGGGGGGGGGGACGGACGGACCGGGGGTGGAAACACCCGTGGGGCAGGGGTTCCTCTGAAAACACGCGTGGGAAAGGGTCCCGTGAAAACACGTGTGGGAAAGGGTCCTGTGAAAACATGTGTGGGAAAGGGTCCCGTGAAAACACGTGTGGGTCCTGTGAAAACACGCGTGGGAAAGGGTCCCGTGAAAACACGCGTGGGAAAGGGTCCCCCGAAAACATGCGTGGGAAAAGTCCTGTGAAAACACACGTGGGAAAGGGTCCCGTGAAAACACGCGTGGGTCCCGTGAAAACACGTGTGGGAAAGGGTCCCGTGAAAACACGTGTGGGTCCTGTGAAAACAATGTGTGGGACATGGGTCCCGTGAAAACACGTGTGGGAAAGGGTCCTGTGAAAACACGTGTGGATCCCGTGAAAACACGCGTGGGAAAGGGTCCTATGAAAACACGCATAGGTCCCGTGAAAACACGTGTGGGAAAGGGTCCTGTGAAAACACGTGTGGGAAAGGGTCCCCCAAAAACATGCGTGGGAAAAGTCCCGTGAAAACACACGTGGGAAAGGGTCCCATGAAAACACACATGGGAAAGGGTCCCGTGAAAACACGCATGGGTCCCGTGAAAACACACGTGGGAAAGGGTCCCGGGAAAACACATGTGGGGAAGGGTTCCCTGAAAACACGCGTGGGACAGGGTCCCCCCGAAAACACACGTGGAAAAGTCCGGTGAAAACACGCATGGGGAAGGGGGTCGCCCTGAAAACACGCGTGGGGATGGGGGTCCGCCTCCTGCCACGATCCGCATCGCTGCATTGGACAGATCAGAGCCAAATTCGTCCCTCTCTGCTCCAATCCTCCCACGCTGGCTCTCGTGGCGGGGAGTTCCTCGGGTTAACCTGCCCGGGATAAGAATTTTCTCGCGTGGGTCGGCCACAACGTAAGACGAACCCACCCCCACACATAGACACACAAATTCCTCCATCTCTGCTCTAATCCTCCCGCGCCGGCTCTCGTGGCGGGGAGTTCCTCGGGTTAACCTGTCCTGGATAAGAACTCAGGGTGTTCTCTCGCGTGGGAAAGGGGCACCCTGAAAACACGCGTGGGGATGGCGGTCCGCCTCCTGCCACGATCCGCATCGCTGCATTGGACAGATCAGAGCCAAATTCGTCCCTCTCTGCTCCAATCCTCCCGCGCTGATTCTCGTGGCGGGGAGTTCCTCGGGTTAACCTGCCCGGGATAAGAATATTCTCGCGTGGGTCGGCCACAGCATAAGACGAACCCACACACCCACCCCCCCCCCCCCACATCCCGCCACGATCCGCATCGCTGCATAGGGCTTAATCGTCCCTCTCCGCTCCAATCCTGCCGCGCTGGCTCTTGTGGCGGGGAGTTCCTCGGGTTAGCCTATCCAGAACCCGAATTTGAGTTGGCTTCAGCATAAGAAGAATCCCCTCCAACAACCGCCCCCTCCCCAATCTTCTGCCCCAATCCGCATCGCTGCTTAGAGCCGATCCGCTCCAATTCTGCCGCGCTGGCTCTTGTGGCGGGGAGTTCCCCGGGTTTATAACCGAAGCATTTTTTTTCTTTCTTTCTTTCTTTTCCAGGAATATTCTCTCCCTGTTTGCATCCTTAATGGCAGTAATAGAATAGAATAATGTTACGATCGCATAGATAACACATACTTTGTGTTAGGGGGGAAAAGAGCTAAAAAAGGGATTTTTTGGACAATTTTCTCCCTTTACGACGCATCCGGCCTTCGTTTCACCCATCCCCGCTGTGCCCCACTTTTCTCTCTCTCTCTCTCTCTCTCTCTCTCTCTCTCTTTCTCTCCTCCCGCAAAAATAGCCAAAAATAGCCCCGGAGATACTGTTGACATTTTGCACGGCTCGCGTCAAAAATCAGATTTATTTATTTTTTTACTTCCTTCTCAATCCAATTCAATCCAATTCGAATCTTTATTGTCTTTATATGTGCAATGAGATTGGTTGAGCTCCCTCAGTGCGCTCCCTTCTCTCCCTTCCTTCCTTTATTTCTTTTCTTCCTTCCTTCTATCCTTCTGTCTGTCTGCCTTCCTTCCTTCTTTTCTGTTTTCCTTCCTTCCATCCTTCTGTCTGTCTGTCTGTCTTTGTTTTCCTTCCTTCCTTCTTCCTTCCTTCCTTCTTTCTTTCTTTCTGTCTGTCTTTCTTTGTCTTCCTTCCTTCCTTCTTTCTTTAACTGTAACAGAGTTGGAAGGTACCTTTGAGGTCATCTAGTCCGACCCCCCTGCTCACGCAGGAGACCCGTATTAAGGATTCGAACCGCCGACCTTTCTGATCGGCAAGCTCAGCGTCTTAGCCACTGAGCCACCTAGTCAGGCTTTCTATCTTTCTGTCTGTCTGTCCTTCTTTCTTTGTCTTCCTTCCTTCCTTCCTTCCTTCCTTCCTTCCTTCCTTCTTTCTATCTTTCTGTCTGTCTGTCTTCCTTCCTTCCTTCTATCCTTCTGTCTGTCTTCCTTCTTTCTGTCTTCCTTCCTTCCTTCTATCCTTCTGTCTGTCTGTCTTTCTTCCTTCGCCTGTCTGTCTGCCTTCCTTCCTTCCTTCTTTCTGTTTTCCTTCCTTCTATCCTTCTGTCTGTCTTCCTTCTTTCTGTCTTCCTTCCTTCCTTCTATCCTTCTGTCTGTCTTTCTTCCTTCCACCTGTCTGTCTGCCTTCCTTCCTTCTTTCTGTTTTTCCTTCCTTCTATCTTTCTGTCTGTTTGTCTGTCTTCCTTCCTTCTTTCTGTTTTCCTTCCTTCCATCCTTCTGTCTGTCTTTCTTCCTTTCTTCCTTCCTTTCTGTCTATCTGTCTGTCTTCCTTCCTTCCTTCTTTCTGTCTTCCTTCCTTCTTTCCTTCCTTCTATCCTTCTGTCTGTCTGTCTGTTCTCCTTCCTTCTTTCTGTTTTCCTTCCTTCCATCCTTCCTTTCTTCCTTTCTGTCTGTCTGTCTGTCTTCCTTCCTTCCTTCTTTCTTCTTCTTCCTTCCTTCTTTCTTTCCTTCTATACTTCTGTCTGTCTACCTGTCTTCCTTCCTTCCTTCCTTCCTTCCTTCCATCTTTCTATCTGTCTGTCTTCCTTACTTTCTACCTTTCTTTGTCTGTCTCCTTCCTTCCTTCCTTCCTTCCTTCCTTCCTTCCTTCCTTCCTTCTATCCTTCTGTCTGTCTGTCTTCCTTCCTTCTTTCTGCCTTCCTTCTTCCTTCCTTCCTTCCTTCCTTCCTTCCTTCCTTCCATCTTTCTATCTGTCTTTCTGTCTTTCTTCTTCCTTCCTTCCTTCTTTTTTTCCCTTCCTTCCTTTCTCCCTTTCCCCTTCAAAACCCTCTAAAACGGTTGGATCATTTCCCCCACCACCACCCGAGATGGGGAGGGGGTGATCTTTCCCTCCCCTCCTCCCCGACCCCTTTCCCAGCTTTGGGGGCGCTGCTCCGTCCCAAATCCTCCCCCCCCCACCCCCCCACTGCCCCCAATTCTGCCCCTGGGGTCTCTGGCACAACTGGGGGAGAGTGGGGGGGGGTTGCAGGAGCCCAGCCTCCAGCTGTTAAGAAGAAGAGATTTGATTTGATTTGATTTGATTAATTTAATGTTTTCAGCCTCGGCCTTGGGAATCGGGACTCCCCAACCCCCCCCCACGCCCCCCCTAATCCTTAGGGCAGGGGTCCCCAACTCCCCAGGCCGCGATGCTCATAGGCGCAGCTCCGTTTAAGGAAGCATCATCCGCTCTCACCCCCCCCCCCCCCCCCAAAAGCTGGAAAGATTGGGGACCCCCACTGCCTTAAGGGGAAGCAGAAGGGGGGGCTGGCTTTCTCCACCTGCCCCCCCCACCTACTCCCAATCCTCGACCCCCCCCTCCCCCCCCCCCCCCCCCCCCCCCCCCTTCCGCCCCCCAGCATCCTCGCCTCCCATCTGGGGCTCCCCTCCCCCGCTGTTTATCCCGGGACTTCGAAGTTGTGCAACGCGGTTGCACATCTTGTGGTGGCCTTTTTTGTGTGTGTGTGGTTTTTTTTGTGTGTGTTGTTGTTTTGCGAAGTTGGGAAAGCAGCGTCGGAGGGAGGGGGGTGTCTTTTAAAGGGGAGGGAGGGTGTCTGTTTCTTTCTTTCTTTCTTTCTTTCTTTCTTTCGTTCGTTCGTTCGTTCGTTCTTTCTCTCCCCTCCTTCCCTCTTCATTCCTCCCTCCCTTCTTTCTCTTTCTTCCCTTCCTTCCTTCTTTCTCTCTCTCTCTCTTTCTCTCCCCGCCCACCCTCCCTCTTCCTTCCTCCCTCCCTTCTTTTTTTATTTCTTTCTCTCTCCCCCTCCCTCCTACCCTTTCTTTCTTTCCTTTCTTTCTCTCTCATCCCTCCTCCCCTCCCTCTTCCTTTCCTTTCCTTTCCTTTCTTTTTATTACTCTTCTCTCTCTCCCATCCCTCCCACCCTTTCTTCTTTCTTTCTTTCTTTCTTTCTTTCTTTCTCTCTCTCTCTTTCTCTCTCTCTTTCTCTCCCTTCCCTCCCTCCCTTTCTCTTTCTTTCTTTCCTTCCTTCTTCCTTTCTTTCTCTCTCTCCCCTCCCTCCCTCTTCATTCCTCCCTCCTTTCTTTCTTTCTTCCCTTCTTTCTTTCTCTCTCTTTCTCTCCCCTCCCCTCTCTTCCTTCCTTCTTTTTTATTTCTTTCTCTCTCTCCCCTCCCTCCCACCCTTTCTTTCTTTCCCTTCTTTCTCTCTCACCCCTCCTCCCCTCCCTCTTCCTTCCTTCCTTTCCTTTCCTTTCTTTTTTTCTTTCTCTCTCCCCCTCCCTCCCCTCCCCTCCCTCCCACCCTTTCTTTCTCTCTCTCTCTTTCTCTCCCTTCCCTCCCTCCCTCCCTTTCTTTCTTTCCTTCCTTTCTTCTTTCTCTCTCTCTCGCT